AGATCGAGCACATATCACCTGAATCTGGCCGCCGGCTTCCTTTGCTAAGGGCCAGGCCCTTGTGATTTTCACCCAGAAGTTGCGTCTATCTTAGATGATTCTAAAAAGAAATAGGAGATCTATTGGACTGCATAACAGAATACTTGGAAGAGGATTGAGCAAAGAGGCGGGTGAGAATGCACAAACGAGGGTCAGGAAAAGTGGCCATGATGCCGGTATTGTTGATGCTGGCTGTGATATTGGTAATGTTGACATTCATGGCGGTGTTGGTTGCGGGGCGTAGGTTATGAGTTTTGTGGGGTGGGCAGAAGAGCTGGAGAAAGTTGCATTTGCCATGCATCGAGAGCAAGTGATTACAGGAACAACAAACGTATGTGCGTCTAATTGGAATGATAGGCTGCCATCTGACTACACCGATTGTACGCCTATTTGCGTGCATGTGTATGTAGCTATACATGATGTGCTTGTATGTGTTTGATCATATGTACAGATAGGTACATGGGCGTGTGTATTTACGACTTGGAGAACAGATGAGGCTATAAGTCAGAACAAAAAGTAACAACAAATGAGGCTAAGACCTTTTGGCCAGCCGCCCACTATCTTCTTGGCCTTTAAAACACTTATTTCTATTATCCTTCATTAACTGCAGCGATGCATTACTGCGCTGGGGAAAGAGATGTGCATAGGAAAATCTTCATTCTCTATTTCGAGGTTATTTTCTTATCACATCCTTGTTTGCATTCACTTTTGCACTATGTCGGCCTTATTGTCGCTGTGAGAACTTTAGTTCATTTACAAACAAAAATACACACACACACACACACACATACAGACATACATACATATACATACATGCCTAAGGAGTACAGATGAATTGCGAGTGAGAGAAATTAAGAGAGGCCCCCTTTAGGCTAGACGATTATCCAGCCTTGGTTATGTCGAGGCCATCTAGTATCCTGAGTAATTTGATATCTACAGGACGGCCAGTGTCTGCTCTAGCAATGAGAAACACAGACAGTTTGGGAGAGGTAGAAAGAGTTGAGGGATGGGAAAATGAGAAAGGAAGAAGCATAATTTTTGGCAAAATCTAGGAGGCAATTTGAAGACAGGAGACTTTTTATGTTCTCATTTTGGATTATCCAATTGTAAAAAGCATAATTCATGCTCATTGTTTTGGTAAAAACGCATGATTCTGTAATGACAAGTGCTCTCACAGAAGGGGGCTTCGTGAAAGTTTATAGGAGCAAAGATTTTAGAGAAATGCAGTAATGCAAGGAATTTCAGTGTTCCTTGTCAATTCAGTCTGTCGCGATGCCGTATGGTGAATTTCATTTGGTATGAAAGTTTGAAGTAAGGGTACTCAGAGATGGATCCCATCTTATTATGATTTAAATGCTTGCTAATAGGAAGTTGGCTAGATTGCCTGACTTAATCAGTTTCGGCCGAGTATTCAACGAATTTTGGCTAAATATTGGTTCCATTCTCTGACAACGCCTTCATTTCGTGACAGACGGAGGTTCAAAAGTGATGCTTTGCAGACTTCTGAGCTCAGTTTAACCATCTCAACGTTGAGTTACTCCACCTTTGGTTTGCAGTAGGCAAAGTTTGCAAATTCCGTCAAT